AGGGAGGAAGGAAGGAAGGAAGGAAGGAAGGAAGGAAGGAAGGAAGGAAGGAAGGAAGGAAGGAATACAGTCATATCAAATTTTTTAAAAATGTGTGTTATAGTGATACAGGTACTTTTTTTTTTTTTTGAGTCAGAGTCACCCAGACTGGAGGGTAGTGGCTCGTTCAAAGTTTACTGCAGTCTTGATCTCCTGGGCCCAGGTGATCCTTCCAACTCAGCCTCTCAAGCAGTTCAGACACTATAGGTGCATGCCATCATGCCTGGCTAATTTTTTTGTAGAGATGAAGTCTTGCTATGTTGCACAGAGGCTAGTCTCAAACTCCTGGGTTCAAGCAATCCTCCTGCCTTAGCCTCCCAAAGTACTGAGATTACAGGTGTGAGCCACCACACCTAGCTGACAGGTGCTTCTTTAATAACGTGTTACATGACAGATTTAGTGGCAAATGTAATAATTATTGTAATTTTATTTGAATTTTTTTTGAAAAGACAGGTTCTTTAAAGATTGGGATTACTGTGTCCAACCCCAGTTACTATAGTTTTTAAGTGGTAATGAGCATAAATGATATTGCAAGATATATGCAACAAATGTAATGTGATATGAAGATAGCTATGGTTTCTAGGGGCAACCAAGGAGCTGCTGATTGACACTATGACCTACTTTGTTCATTGAAAGAAATGTTGTATTTCAGTTAAAGGTTAAAAAATAAAGAAGTGATTAATCCATGACAACTTGGGGTCTGTAGGAACCGTTGGGCTTGAGGGAGGGAGGACAACTCAAAGGGAGGCGGCATAGGCTCTTCCTTCATTGAAGGTAATTGGACCCTTGGCTACTTGGGATATTTTCTGTTCCAGATCCTAGATCTGAGAGGCCAAGGGAGGCTGTGCATACAATGGGAGTCTGTAGGGAGCCACCCCGCCAAGAGCCCAGCTTAGCTCAACCTGCAGTCCTGGCTGGACTCAGGGTCCACCTCCAACCAGCTTCCCTGGTGATGCCCAGGACTGCCAGGCTGCGGGCACAGTCGGAAAAGGACAAGATGAGGACTACACAACCTTTCAGGCTGTGCTCACCTACTGCTAAGGATGCTCTGAACAATCTCAGGCAAGGTATCCTAGCAACAGTCAGAGAACTTCAGCTCCAGATACAGAGAAGAACCAACAGCAGAGGCAGGCATAAGGCCTGGGATATAAAACACTGTATTCCTCGACTGCTCAAGAATATGAATCCTGAACTGCTGACCCTCTGGCCTCTGAAAGAATTAGGCTGCAACACAAAAGCAAAGATGACTCTTTTAGGCTCAGGAAACCATCACCCTTTCTGAAAAACCAGCTGATCACCGCCAGATCTGTCTGCAGTGGTTATTCTCTGCTCTCAGATGCTGAGGACCCTAAAGGTGCCCCCAAACACATGGTACTTTCTGCCTTCCAGACAAAAGATTTAGGGAACACTCCTGATGAAGTCTTTCTATGGAAAAATTTTCAAAAAGGAAAGAAATCTAAGACACGTGAAAGATGTTTGCCTAGAATGTATTTTCACACCTCCCAATAAAGTGTTAAGATGAAATACATATACACATACATATATATATTTATTTATGACACATTACTTTGAGGACATGGCAAATTCTGTCCCCCCATGAAAACTCACATGCAACATCATAACCCCAACTTTCTGCTCAATAGCAATGCTCAACCCTAGAAAGGAGGGTTTTCTGAGTAAGATTTTCAGCCTGCAGAAGACCAGACTGAAAGCAATTGAACAGAACATTTTCAGAGCCAGCAATAAGCAGGAGAGGCTTCTGAGCTATGAAATAGAGGAGTGTTCCTAAAATGATACAATAAACATCAGTTCAAGTCATGCTCCACCTCCTGCGATGGGTGTGTGGCAGCTAACCAAGATAAGACATGGAAGAAAAAGCAGGGAAGAAGAGAGAATAATTGTCCTTCCTCCCAAAATGCCATGGAAAGGCAGAAAGACAATGACACTGACTTTCCAGCCACCAGCACAAACATAGACTCCAGATCAAGCTGCTGATACAGATGATCACCCTGCAAAAGCCTCTCCTGGCCTGAAGACCAGCTACTAACACCATGGACACACTACATACCGACAATTTCCCTTAACCCTTCCAGAGAATGGTGGGTGTCTATTCTAGTGTTTCCCTTTAACAACCTATGGCTGGGCCGGGCTCGGTGGCTCAGCCTGTAATCCCTGTACTTTGGAAGGCCGAGGCAAGTGGATTGCCTGAGCCTGCTGGTTTGAGAACAGCCCGGGCAACTTGGCAAAACTTTAGCCGGGTGTAGTAGTGCACACCTATAGTTCTGGCTACTTGGAAGGCTGAGACGGGAGGATCGCCAGAGCCCAGCGGGTCTATGCTGGGGTGGTGGTGAGCGTGCCACTGTACTCCAGCCTGGGTACCGGAGTGCAACTCCAACTCAAAAAAAAAAAACAACAAAAAAAACTACCTCTGGCTGGAAATCAGAACTTCCATTCAATCTCTGCTATCTCCTGTCTAGTACTTATCTTGTGCCCCCAATATGGAAATGGCTAAGCAACAAATGTATTGGGGGCTGGAGTCCCTACCCCAGCTCTCTGGGACTTCCATTCAACTCCAGTAAAGTGGCTCTTCAATTCATCCCACCCTCCATCTCTGGGGGGCCCAAAAAACACCTGCAGTGAAGCTATCTGTGGAGGGCACCAATGGAGAAGGCCGTGGGACTCCCAAAGTTTGAGTGTAATCACCACTTTCCTAGAGCCTCCATACTTGGCCTCACAGTGCCTGTGGGCTTCAAAGGACTGCCATCAATGATCACGGCCCTACTCACTCCAAACGACATGGCCACAGAAGAAGCAGAAAAGAGGTCTTGCTGGTAAAAGGGCCTGCCTGGAAATCTTTAATGATCCAGAACATAAACTACATTTCATCCTAACTGCTTTCAACACTATAAACAAAATAGACAAATTCGTCGATCTCTTCAACATGCAGGCCCCTAACCCTCAGTGTGAGTTTTCATAACATAGTGCATATAAATTCATTATGAGGGGTCATCAATCGTACTAAAAGGCTGGATACTAGTTGGACTGGCTAGCTATGGTAATAAAGCACAACAAGGGCTGTGTATGATACAGAATCACAAGACTGGTAGTGACAGGAAAAAAGAGGTCTATTACTTGAACAAGTCTGGGTGACTCCAAAAGCTCAGATCCAAACAAAAGTCCTGGTGATGTGCCATCATTCTCATTTAAACAATTTATTATTATTATTTTTAGAGATAGAGTCTTGTTCTGTCACCCAGTCTGGAGTTCAATGGCACGATCACAGCTCACTGCAGCCTTTACCTCCAGGCTTGAGCAATTCTCCCACCTCAGCCTCCCAAATAGCCTGGACTATAGGCATGTGTTACTTACTACACTTGACTTTTTTTTTTGGTAGAGATGGAATCTCACTATGTTGCCCAGGTGATCTTCCCACCTTGGCCTCTCAAAGTGCTGGGATTACAGGCCTGAGTCAAAACACATGGCCTCACTTAAATAATTTACAACTTGGTTAACCTAAGTCTGAGATTCTCTAGCTTCTTAACTTCTTCCCCTCCCCACAAGAGCAACTGCTTTCACGAAGGCATTTTTGAGAACACGAAGTTTCTTAAGACGGAATTGCCGCACTCGAGAGTTTCAGTACCTTAAAGGAGTGCTTGCGACTTATGCGGTCCTCAGGGGCCACAGGTGAGATCACGTAGCTGGGCAGAGGGATGCTCCCAAGGACGGCTTCTTCTCGGCTGTCTTTGAATGGAAAAACACATCAGAACAACCTCCTGGGTACCTCCCCTGTGCTGGCCTGTCCCACTGCCCTACTTCAGGGCCCCTTCTGCCCCACAAGACCACAGTAATCTCTTAACTAATCACTGAGATGCTCCCTGGCCCCTCGGTGTGAATGCTGGAACCATAAAGGGCCCTCTTGCCGAGGGCAGACACAGGTGTGTAAACACGCTCAACTCAATGCTAACTCCTGTCCTGCGGTTACACAGAGGCAAAAGTGGCAGTCTGGGGAAGTCGAGAAGTCTTCAGAAGGTAATGTTTGTGTGTGTGTATACTTTTTTTTTTTTTGAGTTGGAGGCTCATTCTGTCGCCCAGGCTGGAGTGCAGAGGCACAATCACAGTTACCTCGACCTACTGGCCTCAGGCAATCTTTCCATCTCAGCCTCCCAAGTAGCTGAGACGACAGGCGTATGCCACCACACCCAGCTAATTGTTTATGTTTATGATAGAGACCAGGTCTTGCCATGTTGCCCAGGCTGGTCTTGAACTCCTGGGCTCAGGCAATTCTCTCGCCTCGGCCTCCCAAAGTGCTGGGATTACAGGCGTGAGCCACTGCGCCCGGTCAGAAGAAAATGTTTAGTGTTTTCAAGGATGGAGAAAGGCAGTCTGGATGGAGCAAATCTCATAGGTTAGGTTTCAGCATGTGTGAAAAATCCCACCTTCTACTTCCATTCTCCTCCCACCAAACCATCTTTATTCCCCCAGGTAACTTGCTGCCTAAAGACAGAGACAGCGTTGGTCCTGTTGCTCTCCTACTTAAAGACGTGCTGATCCTCCCCCCACCCCAAACAAAATGAAGCCCCAGTCCACGCCTACCCAGGATGGCCCTTTTCTCTGGCTCTTGCCCGCCTCCTGAGCTGACTCTCCTAGTATATCCTCCATGTAAGACTCACCTAACCACACAGGTCTCACCGTCATTCCACCATCTTCTGCTTCTACAACTTTACCCAAATGGTCTCCTCTCCTTGTAATGTCCATCCCCCTCCACATGGGAAAAGCTCTACTCATTCTTTTTTCTTTTTTTTTTGAGTTGGAGTTGCACTCTGTGCCCCAGGCTGGAGTACAGTGACACATTCACAGCCACCGCAGCCTCGACCTGCTGGGCTCAGGTGATCCTTCTGACTCAGCCTTCCAAGTAGCTGGAACTATAGACACACGCCATCACGTCTGCCTAATTTTTTGATTTGTTGTAGAGATGAGGTCTCACCAAGTTGCCTAGCTAGTCTCGAACCCATGGGCTCAGGCAATCCTCTCACCTTGGCCTCCCAAAGTGCTGGGATTAGGGATTATAGGCGTGAGCCACTGCACCTGGCCTTCTACTCATTCTTTTTTTTTTTTGAGTTGGAGTCTCACTCTGTCACCCAGACTGGAATGCAGTGGCCGCTCCCGGCCACCGCAGTCTGGACCTGCTGGGCTCCAGCGACCCTTCCACCTCAGCCTTCCAAGTAGCCGGAATTACAGGCACACGCTACCATGCCCAGCTGATTTTTTGATTCATCATAGAGATGAGGTCTCGCCAACTTGCCTAGGCGGGTCTCAAACCCACGGGCTCAGGTAATCCACTCACCTCAGCCTCCCAAGGCGAGGGATTACAGGCTGAGCCACCGAGCCCGGCTCTTCTACTCATTCTTAAAAGCTCAACTTAAATCCTGTCTCTTCTAAGAAGCCTCCCTAGATTCTCCAGAGTGGAATTCACTTCTCACTCTCTGTAAACTGCCTAAGTACTCTGGGTGTCTTTTAAAGCACCAGTCCCAGTCTAGTATTGCCTTGAAAGCAAGCTATGTCTTCCTCTACATTCTGAGACTTCTTTCTCAATACTGCACAGTTCCTAATTTTATATACTGGAGCTCCATAAAAATTCAGATGACCAATTCAGTTCATGAGTTGTCATCCACTATCACAGGAGATAAATCCAGATGGCAGGTTACAAAATACAATGACTTAACCACAATTCTCACCTCTCCATATCACCTCAAAGGTACACCTATGTCCCAAGGGGAGCAAAAACTGAAATGACTCTGGATCTTGACCCTAAGTGGGTGGAAAATTGGATCCTATTTATTTTAACTCAACAGATTGAACTTTCTGTGTCAGAACTGATAAAACTGACTAAAGTCACCAACCACCCACATAGGTAAAAGTGAACATTCTGGCAGGGTGATGGGTTACTAATTAACTCACCTTTATAGTAAAACAAGCAGTAATCAGCCAACACAAACCACCTCCTTTTCCACAGCCTCATCCCAGAACTGTCCTGCAGCACAAAGCAAATCAGTCAGGGCAACACCTGAACACACCGTTCCCCTCCCAAGTCATGCACAACCCAATTCCGGAAATAACTCTGGCCCATCTTCACTCTTTCTTTTAATCAATTAATGTTTTACTGAGTAGCTATTCCTTTTTTTTTTTTTTTTTTTGAGTTGGAGTCTCACTCTGTCACCCAGAGACTGGAGTGCAGTGGCACACTCCTGGTCACTGCAGCCTCGACCTGCTGGGCTCCAGTGATCCTTCCACCTCAGTCTTCCAAGTAGCTGGAACTACAGGTGTGCACTACCACACCCGGCTAATTTTTTTATTTATTGTAGAGATGAGGCCTCCAAGTTGCCCAGGTGGGTCTTGAACCCACAGGCTCAGGCAATCCACTCACCTCAGCCTCCCAAAGCACGGGATTACAGGCTGAGTCACCGAGGCCGGCTCTTTTTTTTTTAAAGCAGGATTTACTGAGAGGACAGAAAAGCTCCCACAGTGGGAGGGGACCCCAAGGGGTTGCCCAGTCATTCTTTTAATAGGACATTAAAGCTTAAGTTCAATGATGGTCTAATCCCTAGTAAATAGGATTTTTATTTTGTTTTCTGGAAACAAATTAGTATATTATAAGCCTTCTTCTCGAAAGTAAAATGTGAATTCAAAAGTATATTACCTTCTTCTCGAAAGTAAAATGTGAATTCAAAAATACAGGTCTGCCATGAAGAAAGAAATCAACTCTTAACAAAAAGGAAGTTTTTGTTGTTTTCTTCTTATTTAGGTAATATGCTATGAAATATCTTCATTTGTGTTGACTGGAAAATAGAACTTACATGGTAATGAAAAGAGTTTAAATTAGCTAATTGATTAACTAAGGCCAAGTTCTCACAGTAAGCTCAGTTCTCACACCATATGGGACTGTTTTTGCTGTTGGTAGTTTCCTTCTATTAATATAAAAATATTTGGATTATCTTTGCTGTCAAATAGTCTCATAACAAAAATCTGTCCTTACTCATCGGAAACGTAAACCTTCACATTTATTTATTTGTTTGTTTGTTTGTTTATTTTTGAGTCAGAGTCTCATTCTGTAGCCCAGGCTAGAGTGCAGTGGCATGCTCGCAGCTACCGTGGCCTCGACCTGCTGGGCTCAGACAACCCTTCCATCTCAGTCTTCCAAGTAGCTGAACCATAGGGGTGTGCCACCATACCCAGTTAATTTTTTTATTTATTGTAGAGATGAGGTCTTGCCAAGTTACCCAGGCTGGCCTCAAATCCCTGGGTTCAGGCAATCCTCTCATGTCCTCTTCCCAAAGTGTTGTGATTACAGGAATGAGCCACCGTGCCTAGCCAACTTTACATGTATTAAGAATATTTTAAATAATTGTGAATATTCAAGAAAACAGAGTCACTGTAGGAAAATAGCAATGATTTAGGGTCAGTTTTCTCTCAAACCCAAGAAAAATTCAGAATTTCCTTCAGCTTTAGAGATGGCTGTGAAAATTTTTCTTCTTTCTGCAGAAGTTTTTGACTTGAATTTCTTAAAAAAAATCTGACATTTCACATGTGGATTGTTTATCCTCCACTTATTAAAATGCTAAAAGCTCATTTAATTTGATGATTTCTACCATTTATCAGTTTATCTCCTGCAAATCAACCAGATAGATGATTTCTAAGGTCTGGGCACATCTTTGCTTTGTCTGGAGAACGCTTGCCTATCCTTCCATGCCTGGTTCGCCTCCTCTGGGAAGGCCTTCTGGACACCCCAAGCATAGATACCCATGACAGCATGTCCACAGCACTCTACACAGAGCTGTGTTACAGTTACAGCACAGTCAACACCTGAGAGAGGGCTCGTGCTCCATATGTCAAAGCAGCGTTTTTTGTTTAATGAGGACAGCAACGCAAATGAAGAAGTCAGAGGGTTAAATGACACAAGCAAGAAGAAGAGATGAGCAGGTATAAGAACAGAGAGGGAGAAGTAAGCTGTGGGAGGGGGGAAGAGAGGGAGATACCAGAGTGTCTGACAGAGGAGACTGGAGGGCCGTCGGAGTTTTCACAGGAGACAGAACTGGGGAAGAAGTGGACTTTCCAGATTTCTTCTTGTGTGCAACAGAAGAGTTTCCTGTGTCTTGCCACTAAGGCTTCATGGAAACTGACATGGTTGCTCTGTGGGGGCTTCTGGAAGCGATGCTATGTGAGAGACTGGGCAGGGTGACAAGGTGACACGTGAGAGAGGTGCTATCTACTTCCCCTGGTAGATGGTGACTGCCTCAAAGGCAGGAACCATATGTTACTCATCTCTTTACACCTGCTCTGAGAGCACTCAGAACATGGCAGGCACTTGGAGGAATGAATGAATGAATGGCAGGAAGAGAAGAGGGGAGAAAGAGATATGGTCGCCGACATGGAGGGAGAACAGTGGTACCATTACCAAGACCCAGAAAAAGCCATCTAGGGGAAGAGAGAAGGGTTTGTGAGGAGACAATGTGCTGAGCTTGGACGATTTGGAATTTGAGATGCCAGGGAGCTGGATACGGGTGCTGGACAAGGCGGAGAGGAAAAGATGGAATTCTTCAGCCGGATGATAACAAAGACTCTTTGCCATCAGCAAGGCAAGTGCTAGCAGAAGACTGTAGGAAGGCTGGATTCATGCTGAGCCACCCACACCTCGCCCTGGGTTCCAGGGCAGCCCACAGTACCAGGGGCCAGAGCAGTCAAGTGGGTTTTGGGAGAGGAGCTGTAAGCATTGGGAAGACAATCCACTCATAAGAACGAGAGCAGATCACTCAGCATGGCGGGCAGAACCCACCTCCTTAGACAAACTCAGGAACAGAAAGCTCCCGTGTCTGTGCCCAGCTTCCCGGGACCCAGGAAAGCAAAGACTCAGCCAGAGCCGTTTCCTCCACCACGTTCCTGCCTCAGTGTCCTCACCTGCTTGTGTAGCCAGCCCCTCACCACCACCGGAACATTGGGGTTCCTCCGAATGGCCTGGTCCCTCTTTCCAAAGCTGTGGACTTTATTGCTGGACTTTATGATCTACGAAAAAGCAGACGTGAACTCTAGCAGCAGGGGGAATTTAGGGAGGCCCACAAAAAGCACTCATATGTTAGGAGGGCTGGCGGCTCTCTCTGCCTTACTCGAAGCAGCAGCACCCTTTGATCAAAAGAACAGCAGCAAGACAGAGAACGGACGTGCACACAGCCACAGCATTCTAATTAAAAGGCGAGCCCAAGACCTGGCAAGCTTCCCAGCTGGGTCACGGAGAAAAAATTAAAGGAATTTTTTTCAATCAACTTTCAGCAGCAGCTGTTGGCTCTAATACAGCCTATGGCTTTGAGGGGCAAGTTACATTTTGGGCACAGATTTTGCCAGTTTCTAGAGATTTCCCCCACTGACCTGGGTTCACCCCTCGTTACTCCACCCCCCCCACCCCGCCCCCCAATGCCAGTTCTTCTGCCCGTTCTTTAGTCACAGTTTTTACCCTTGGAACACAAAAACGTCCCGGCCTCTCCCAAGTGTACCTTCTGCAAGTCTGACAGTCCCGGATTGCCTCTAGGCTGTATAACACACATCTACATGTGAACAGAGAAGAGATCCTCCCACTGCGCCAGGAAAGTGAGGAAAGTGAAGAATGTGCTCAAGCACCTAGACATCACTCTTGCTTCTGTCAGCAATCCCTCATGTTTGTTTTGTTTTGAGTGGAAGTTTCACTTGTCACTCAGGCTGGAGTGTAGTGGCACGCTTGCAGCCACCTCAGCCTCAACCTGCTGGGCTCAGATGATGTTTCCACCTCAGCCTTCCAAGTAGCTGGAACTACAGGTGCGTAACACCAGGCCCGGCTAACTTTTTAAAATTTATTCTGGAGAGGAGGTCTCACCAAGTTACCCAGGCTGGTCTCGAACCCCCGGAATCTGGCAATTCTCTCGCCCCAGCCTCCCAAAATGCTGGGATTATAGGCGTGAGCCAATGTGCCCAGCCAACAATTGCCAGTTTGCTTGGACAGGGGGCATGACCCCTCTTGGCCTCAATTTCCAGACCTGTCATTTGGGGAAAACACTTCTCATGGGTCTCCCCCACCAAACTAGGGTGAAGATCAAATGAGCTTCTGGTTACAACAGGGCTTAGAAAATATAAAAGAGGGGAAGGAAGGACCGAGCAGCCAGGAGCTCACCTTGGGTCCAGGCTTGGCCTCCAGGGTGGAAGTGGTCCCAGCTGTGGACGTTTCACTGACCATGCTGGACGGTCTTTGGTTTCTCTCTTGCTTCGACATATGTGGATTTGGCCTGTGAGGAGACGCAGGGGATCCAGAGAGTAAGTGCCAAGTTGCAGAGTTGGGGGGGGGTCAGATTTGTTCCAGGTGGGGATGGCGGCTGGGCCCCAAAGCAACCCAGGCCTGATCTTCTGAAGGCCACCTGACTCCAGACTGCATCCAGATAGCCACCATGTCCACCCTGCCCACATGCTTCAGGAAACCAGAGGATGACGGATGGGCACATCCCCATAGCTTAACGCCCCATAAAGAGGCCCAGACTGTCATCCCTGCCTGTTGTGTCAAGGTCCCACACTCAATCTCTTCATCGGGTGTCTGTGGTGACTGTCGCATCCGATGGGCTTGCACAGTCACAGCACAAGAGCAATACCCTTACACACACACCTCCATTTCCCTGGCTCTCAAAAGAAGCTATTTATAATTAGTAACAAGAAATCACTTGCGCGCACAACCACACCCCCAGATACACACAGAGAATCACTTACATAAATGCCAGTGGGGCTTGCCTCCCAAAATAGACTACTCCACAAAGAGTCCTATTCTGGGAATACTCCATTTGCCCCAAAAGAGAGCCACCGGAGATATTAACCCCTTGTGTCATGCCCAGAGAGCAGGAAGAAATGAAGCAAGCATCGAGCCCCAGGGAGGATCCCCAGGGTGGGTCCCCAGGGTTTCCCCACCCCAGCGTTGTGAAGCTTCCCCCAGGAAGCTGCCGGGGAGGGCCGACTCTCTGGGAACATCCCACGACAAAACTCAAGAGACACTGGAGGGAACCCTTCTCACCTGCCTCCACGGTGCCCCAGCATTTGCCAGAGTCTTTTAAAGCAGCAACGACAAATGTCCCCACACAGGTTCAAAACCTATCCTCCAACAGCTCAATGCCTGATTCTCTGCTAACTCCAGGATCAGCAAGACTCCCTCAAAGCAGAAGTCTCTGTGTCCCGGAGGTGGGTTCTGCCCACCGCTCCAATGGGTATCTGGAGACCAGGCAGATCACAGAAAATCAAGGCTGTTTGCCTGAAGAGGTGAAGAAAATCGAGGCTGTTTGCCTGAAGAGGCAGATCACAGAAAATGGAGGCTGTTTGCCTGAAGAGGTGGAGAAAATTGGCTCTGAAGGCTGAGCCAGGACCCTGAGGGAATGAAGCAGGAGGATCCAGCAGGACACAACTGAGGAAGAAGCACTCTGGATGTCCGTCCCACAGCTCCCTTTTATGGCTTCCACCGTAGTGATATGCTGCTTCCCTCAGACCACTGCTGCTCAAAGGCATGTGATCCTTCCTGTGCCCTGAGACAGATCCCCGACGTCTTGCACTGTGAGGAAAGTTCTCTGTGGAGGCAGCCGTGACCACTGTGCTCTCCAAACAGCATGAGCAGCAGGACCACTGGAACGGTGCCTGCTTCCCCAGGGGCTGGGCCCTGCAGGATGCTTGGCAGTCGAGGGCGCAAGTCTGACCAGGCAGAAAGATCACTGGCTCCTTATCTGCCCAGACACTCACTCCAGGATCTCCGCCCCCAGCCTCCATCCCAGCCAGACTTTTGCTGCTGCTCCCCGCTCGAGGGAGAATGTCACCAGGCTCACCGCTGGCAGAGGCTGTGTGCAGCGAGAGATAATTGCCAGTCAGGGGCGGCAAGGGGCTCTGAGAGGCTGTGTTCACCCTCCGCCTCTAGGCAGAACTATGCCCAGAACATCCTCCTGGAATCTGGTCTTGCCTGACTCATCAGATTTCCAGAGGCTGAGACTAGGAGAAAGAGTTCTCAGGTTGCCTCGGTCATGGCAGCTAGATCTCTAAGCTGAAATTTAGAATGCAAGGTCCAACAACAAAAAAGATTTGTTTGGGATTTTATTAAGTGTCATTTGCTCCCACTTAAGACACTAATAGAAGCTTTTGGCAGGATATTTGAGAAATACCAAAAAAAGCTGAGAAGAGAGAAAATTGTCACCCACAGTTCCGACACTGAAAGGAAAATGATTGTAACACTGGTATAGTTATTTCCATTCTTTCTATATGCCAGGTTATTGGGGGGGAAGGTGCTTTTTTGTTTATATATAATTGTGATTATCCTATTTATGATTTTGCATCTTTGTTTAAAAACCCTATTATACTATAAACATGGTCTCCATTTTAAATGAATTTACATCATTTAAAATGACTGCATCACATTCCATCAACGAGACTGGCATTCCTCCTCTGTAGTCAAAAAAAATCCTCTGGATTTGTGATTGGCTCAGAAAATGCAGGATACGTGGCCACTTTTGCCCTTCTATACCTTACAATCTTGACATCTAACTTTAATCAGCCCTCCTGCCCCTGCATTCTAAGTCCATGTCCCCTCTTCTCCCTAGCTTATAGGGTGCTAGCTGGCTAAGGAGCTCCTTCCAGCCAAAAGTATGGGAAGGAAAATGACTGTCCTACAGCCTTGGGTAGGAGATGAAAGGGTACAACTCCCACCTAGAGAGCCAATTGTGAACAGACTCTGGCTAGAGAAGGATTGGTTGTGGTCCCAACACAGGACATCACTAAGGGACAGCAGTGGACAGCAGGGAAAGAAAAATAGGAAACACCCATGGAGACAATGCTATTCTTCAAGGACACGCCACTCAGTCACACCCAGAGAATGCTTGTTAGATGTGGCTGAAGTCCAAACTAAATCTGCCCCAGAGAGGAGATTATGACATCTCTCAAACAGGGAGCATGTCTTCATCAGGGCTCCCCACAGGCTAGGGCAGCTCCCAACTCAAGCGATAGACTCAGCTAGTACCTGACAGTCCCCACCCCAGTTCTTTGAAAGAACAAGGCAGCCAGTCTTGGTGGCTCAGCCTGTAATCCTGCACCTTGGGAGGCTGAGGTGAGTGGATTGCCTGAGTCCGCAGGTTCGAGACCCACCTGGGCAACTTGGTGAGACCCCATCTCTACAATAAACCAAAAAATTAGCCGGGCATGGTAGCACACGCCTGTAGTTCCAGCTACTTGGAAGGCTGAGGCAGAAGGATCGCCGGAGCCCAGCAGGTCAAGGCTGTGGTGGCCGGAAGCGGCCACTGCACTGCAGTCTGGGCAACAGAGTGAGACTCCAACTCAAAAAAAAAAAAAAAGAAAGAACAAGGCACACACGGCTACCTGCTTGCCCAAGAAACAGGATCAGCCTTCAGAGGACGTTTCTCTGAAGCTCCCCAACATGGGTCATATCCCTAGGGTCTTCCAAGGCTGAGTATGACTTTTGGAATTAATTACAGGTTATCTGGAATTTCCAATATTAAAAAAAAAAGAAAGAAGTGTGGTCATGCTTGGGGCTACCGGCTGGTATCCAAAAATGGGGATATGAAGTCTCAGAAACAATTTTCTCACTTGGCTGAAAAATTGGCTCTGACGGAAAACGCCAAAAGGTGGTTTACCACAATGGTTTGAGCAGGGAATGTCAATGGCGCATGTGTGTAGCCTTGTGAAGAGGACACACTGAATGAGATGTCACTCATTTGGATGTGGGTGGGCGTTCTGGTACATTTGCTTCAATCAGTTGCATGTTACAGGTGTGTTTCCCACTTAAGATGCCGGTGGGGCAGACACTGATTTGTCCTCAACTGCTCAGATGGAGTGAGCTCTACTGACAAGTCTCACCCAAGAACTGTCTCCCCTTCTCAGAGAAGAGCCTGTGTTGGGAACTAAGCAACCCTGAAAGGCATGCAGTTCCCACCAGCATGCCCTCAGGCACACTTAGTCTCGCAGATCCCTGAGAGAAGAGACCAAGGCCTGCACATGAAGACTCTTGGTGTCGTCAAATAAAATCTACTAACTTAAAAGCCTGTTTGCCAGATTTCTGTGCTGTCTGGATTCCCAAAGTACAGTGGGAAGATTGGAACAAAAACCTCCCTTTCCTTGGCTTGGGCTACATGAATGCTGATTATTTTGCTGGAGGGGTGTGGGCTGAAGATGAAAACTGTGAACTAGAGTCTGACCTCAATTGCCTCCCATTTGAAATGAACAAAAGAAGTTAGGACTAGATAAAGTCAGTCTGGAGAGGCCCAGTTGGAAAGTAACTTGCTTCAACGCTGAACTTTGTCAAGGATGTGTCAAGCAGGAAATCACATTCTCAGTCCCTGTCTATAAAAGGAGTGCCTGTGCTTTCTGCATCAGGACTAGATACAGATAACACTGACAGATGTGGTAAGAAAAGGAGGTGATAAACGTCTGAGTTTGGTTAATGGTATCCTTGGGTGCCTCTCAATCAATGGTGTCAACTGATCACAGTGCGTGTGATCATAGCAAGACCTCTCCCTACCCTAGATGTCACAATAGGTAGGTCACCAAGCCAAGTGTCACCAACACTTACAGACAGGTACACAAGGTCAAGAAAGCAAAGGAACTGAGTTGTTCTTGCTGAGCACCTACTGTAGGCCGGGCACTTGGCTTGCATTATCTCACTTAACCCTACAAAGTCAGTTTTAGAGTCTCCATTGTAGATGAGGAAACAGGCCCAGAGAGATTAATGGCTTGCTTAAGATAGAAACTATACTCCATCCCGTGGCAAGTGCCAGGGTCTGAGAGAAGTAGGTTCTTGCTCTTCTCAGCTCCAAGACCAGCCCCTAAAACAAGGAGATCCTGGAGTGTAGAAAGAGTGAGTGCCCAGAGTGAAATGGATCACAGCCCTGCAGCAGACTGACTCCTCCCCAAGTCACAGCAGTCCTCTGGTCTCCGTTTCTAGTTTTGCAAAGTAGATAAATACCCCCTCTGATCTCACAAGGTCATCTTGTGGATCAAGATGACACTTAGACAACCACGAAGTGCTACATGAAATGAAAAGCGTTATTTGTCATTGTTACCAGCAGAGACCTCAGAGTTAATACCCCAGACACCCTTGCCTTTTATTTCCAAGGCACTTCTTTCCAGAAAGCTCAAGGTACCAAACAATTAACTTCTAAACAACAATCATTTTCTATAAGCATCCTGATAGAATCTTATAAACATCTTTTTATTTATTCAGAGTCTTACTCTGTCCCCCAGATTGGAATGTAGTGGC